CGTACGGGAACCGGTGTGACCCGCCCGCTATGGCCGTTGGCTCTATTATTATTATTATTATTATTATTATTATTATTAATTTTTTTTTTTTCATGAGTAAAAATTATAAGATTATTATTATTATTATTGTAAAATAAGGAGAAGAAAATTAAATATATTTTTCATGAAAAAAAAAAAAAAAGAAAACATGATGAGAGAGACAGAGAGAGAGAGAGAGAGAGATAGAGGGGGGGGAGAGGGGAAAAAGATAACTTTAATGTAAAAAAGTAAGATAAAAGGAATTACCTCAGGTGATGCGATGAAAATTTATTTAGCAAACTTGATGATTTACAATTTTTTTTTTTTTTTTCTACAACAACGAGTTAAATTATTCTGCTGCCACGGAAGAAAAAAAAAACGAAAAAAAAATAAAATGAATAAAAAACAGAAAAAAGAAATAACGCGGGTTTTTCTTTCCTTTCCTTTTTTTCTTTTTTCTTTTTTCCTCCTTTTTTTTTCTTTTCGTCGTGAACATGATGATAATAACAATAATAATAATAATAATAATGATGATGATGATGATGATGATGATGATATATCAGTAAGTTAGAAAATGTAAAAAAAAAAAAATGAATAAAAAAAAGAAAAAGAAAAAGAAAAATTTTTTTTTTGAGAAAAATAAATAATAATAATAATAATAACACATTTTGATTTATTTTTACCGACTTGAAAAAGTAAATTTAAGTAGTAGCAGACGACAAAAATTATTATTATTATTATTACTTTTAAATTTTTATAATATTTTACGTGGTAAAGTTTGAGAGCGTTCGCGAACGGGTTTAGAGAAAAAAAAAAAAAAAAAAACGTGTCTGTCTGTTCCCACCTTCCCCCTCCTCCCTAGAATAAAAATATAAAAATAATTCATTTAGGGGGTTATATTAATCCACGTTCATATTTCAATGGAAATTCTCTCAATGGATGAATTTAAAAGGATTATTGAAAGAAATTGATTGAACGAAAAAGGAAAAAGGAAAAGAAGACGCGAAGAGAGAAAATAATCAAAAGATCGCGGAACGGAGGAAAAAAAAAAAATTAAAAAATGTCATGCGATGTGTAAGCAAAAGCAGAAGACAGACGATACTTGACATGCGATAATAAAAAGTCGTGTCGTAAGAAAAAAAAAAAGAAAGAAAAATCTGTCGTCGCTTTTTACCGTTACCTTTTTGACACCGGCAATTTATTACGTTTTACACCGTTAATTTGTTTTTTTTTTTACCTCTCTCTCTTTCTCTCTCAC